TATGCGCGCACTGTGTGCGCACTGTGCGCACAGTGCGTGAAAAAAAATCAGGGTTACTATGAATGGCACATCTCTAACCAAGCAATGGATTTGATCAGCAAAGTTTTCCGGTAATTTAGTTAGTTAATCTTGGGCAATGCATTTCTAAAATCTTAGAATAGGATTTGCATAATATTGTGTGACACTCATGCATCTGAAGCACACGAAGCTCAAAAGCCCGCTCATAGATTAACTCTGATGCATGACCCGACTACATTATGCAATGTGAACGATTATTTAATTCAAGTCTAATAATTACAATCCATTTGAGGTCTAGCTTACAGAAACAGAACCAATGTTAGCAGGGTTGCAAAGCAAATATTGACTCATTGTATATAGTGAAAATCATATTTTGCTAAATTTATGATCATTGTCTTAATAATTGAATTAATCACATAATTCATTCTAACGATACCTGATGAAATGTGATAAAACAATAAAATAAAAAGCGACAAATTCACGAAATGTAGAGAATAATAGATTTATATGTTTATATTCATTTGTTGAAATGTCAGATGATAGTCAGTTCGATTTGCAAATGCCAAATCAAGTATCAATGATAATTTGCCTTCATCTTAATTAGGAAGACCAGCGTCTAAGACTTGGGTACATTTACCAAAGAATCTATAAGAATTTATAATGGTTATTTTTCTCCTAAATGCTTGTGCTGTCCCAACGTAGAGAAGCATCAAGACTTGTATTGAATAACGTAAATTATTTAACCAATAAAATACTAGATCCAATAGCACTTCAGAACAAAAAGGAATAAATGAAGTGAAAATTATTATTATACATAAAATTTTTGTATTTATTAAATTTTCTCTTAAATTCTTTTTGGGAATCAATAATATAATTAAATAATAATTTATCGTCCCTTTTCACTTTTTATCATATTTCAACTTTTCAAATTTTTCCTTTCGGATATCTTTAATTCATTCTCAATTTTATCATGCAAGGAATTAGATTCATTTACAAAATTAACCACACGATATATTTAAGCAAAATTGATCAATATCAATATTGTCGTGATTTCAAATAAAATCGTCCAGTAATAACCTGATGGCACATTAATAACATCATTATTGTGAATATCAAGTCCATCTCGGAACCAGAAAAAATAATCAAGGGTGGTATAAAAAATATGAATTAATACCCATTATCACATGGATCCATTCTATTTGTCCTGTAGACTATTTGTCAATTTTATCAAAGATCCATCATTATTTAAATGGTATGTAAAATTTCGGCCTGTATGACTGCCTTCAGTATGAAAGTCCGAATATTTTCTGGATACGAATATATATTGTGAATAAACAGGATGTTACTTTTGTTTACGACAAAGATTGAGACTTAAAATTAGTTTATGACTCAAATAGCAACCTTATTTCTGGTTGGATGAATCACAGGCAAATGATCTCGATATCACTTAACGGGAAAAAGAAAAATCAACAATAAACTGATATAAATCGACACTTTACTGAAAAACAGTCACCGGAGACATTCATGTTGCGTAACAAGTTTTCTTTCATACAACTTCGCTAATTCTGGATGCGCTTATATCACGAGAAAAAATCTCCTGTTCCTTAGATTATACAGATAATCTTTTGACTAATTTTATGTAATCTTTTTTTTTGAAAGAGAAAAAAAAGAATTGAATTGATTAGAGATGGGCGTACCAATAAATGAAAAATCATTCTTTAGATAAATATTTTTTTTTTTTGTGTGTGTGTAATTTTCATTATTTAGATAAATATTTTTTGTGCGTTTTCATATCAATAAGCAAAGGCCATTCTTTAGACGTTTTTAGATGATTTTTTTTCCAATTTGAAAGGTTTAAAATCAGATGACTAAATTTAGAGTGTTGGACGCCTGATGGATAACCGTATTTCTATATTAGTAAATGAAAAATCTTCTTTAGATAAATTTAATGAATTATCATTTTTTAGATAAATGTTTTTTTCAATAGGTAATATAGAAAAATTATTTTTAGAATCATTAGAAACAATTTATTATTGCGTGCAATTTTTAAAAAAAAATTTCTACAATAATATTAGTTAAAATACAATATATTCCGTTGTTTTAACATTTTTTCTGCATCATAAAAGAGAGATTTCATTCGTTACTACATAGTTATCTCTGCAGTCTTCAAACTATTTCTGAATATGCTTAATCCTCTTTACTCTACTGTACAGCTTGAAATAGGCAAACAAATTTAATTTATTGGAATATTAGCAGGTATTCTAAGAGATTTATCCAATAAATATGCAAGTTAATCTCACCGTTTAATTTCAAACCAAGATATATAGACCAGAAAATTTTCAAAAGAATTGTTAATTCTCTGATTGCTGGATAACAACAATCATATCTTCTGCGAGTGCTTCCTAAGTGAAAATATTTTAAATAAATTCTTTTTAAAGGAAAATTTCCGATTTTAATTTTTATCATATTGATATAATTTACATATGTGAATTACACGTACAACATAACCATATGTTTCAAATGTTTTGATGATTTGTAGCTAATTCTGCTTTTTTAAAATTAAAATTTAATTATGGCTATCTAGTTAAAGAAAATTATGAATTAAATGTGAAATTTTTTAACGCGCGTAATATCATTGTAAATATTCCAGGTTTTAAATTTTATAAATAAATCTAGGAGATATAAAAAGGATCTCGAATAAAGCTAATGTTGTTTAAGTCTCATTTAATGGTCTCCATATCTTTAAATAAAATATTGAATTGTAGAATATTTTATTTATTTGTTTATAATTTCCTTCTCAAATACCATCCACCATCCGGTTGTTTTATGTCAAAACCTTTACTTTTACTAGAAAATAATTCAAAATTAGACTGGCGCACACGCTTAACGATCAATGGTTTCATCAACTTTTTTTTCTTCTCGTCATGTGCTGTTTGCGTTTGCACTAAAGTAATTAGTTTTCTTTGTCAATCAAAATTTCACGTGACAGAAAATGGTTTAATACTGGAACACGTAATGCAAAAAAAATAGGAAATTGTTGGTTATGGTTTGTTTTATCATTTATCATAATGATTGTCCTCTTTGTGGAAAACTGTTAAATTTCTGTGAACAGATATATCAGAACATTCTTGGCTTGCAGGATAAAAAAGAGCATGAATAACCAAAGGTTTACATATAAATTATATTATCAGCGAAAATAATTTATTATATTTATTATTTATAACAAGCAAAACTGAACCGAGTTATACTAAGGCTGGGTGACAAAATGACTTATTTTCTTCACATGCCAAAAATAAATGTAAAAAAATAAAACTCAATGTCAAATATTAATTAGCAGTTAAATTATTATCAGTTGTCCTACATATGATGGATGTGAATGCATGTATAGAGAGATTACTAAATTCATTCTTTTTATCAAAGCAATATTAAAAAAGAATTAAAAAATTCTGGCCAGACTTTATCAAAAAGGATTTAAAGAGTGTATTGGTTAAATCGGAAGTTAATTTGGATGATGATTAAAGCGATAATCGTAGTGGTTATATTGATAATGATGAGACAGAGGATTTAGAAATTTGCGATATGGATTTAGAAAAATTTTTTTTTTTGGAAGACAACGATAAAATAGATGAAGATATGGAATTGGAAAGTCATAAAGATTGAAATGATGATGATAATAATAAAGTTCACGAATCAATGGACGATAATTTATTTTCGGAAATAGTAAATGAAGAAGCATTTCAACAATCACAAATTCTGTAGAAAGCCGTGAAATGTGAAGCAGTAATTAATACTAAAACTTTACATACAAAAATTAAGTATCTACAATTTGTGATTTTTGTTTTATACTTTTGTCATTTTTGTCACCTTTGTGGATTTTAATTTTCGTCATGAAATATTTTTTACACTCCTAAATGTTTTCGTCGCCCAACCATAGCTTAAATTCGACTTAAACATAGAAAAGCACTAATTCAAACTCATCTCGAGCTCAAAAACCAAGTTCAAGTTGGGCTTGAGCAACTCGAAATTTTATAAACCATTGTAAAAATATCTTTACTATAATGGATTATACATTTAAGTCATCATCCGACAGACTAAAAATTTTAAATGATCTATTATATTTTAAATGATCTATTATTTGTGCTTTTAATAAAAATGCTATTAGGTTCTGAAGTATATACATACAAACGTCTTTATTATTATTTAGTTGAGCTGAATTACTCGTTTATTCAAATTATTCATTATATTCGATTCATTTATTCAAACTATTTTGAATTATTTGTAAAAACAAATAATTTAAAGCAAAACTTGAATTTTCAAGTTCAAGAAAATAGGCTCTTAAACTGTTTTTTAAGTAACGAATTTGATAAATAAAATGAAATATATAGTATAATTATTTGTTACTTAAAAAAAAAATATTAAACTCAAGCTATCAAGTCAAGTTGAGCCTATTATTTTTTGATTTGAACTTGGCTCAAACTCAAAAATTCGAGCTTCAACTTGAGCCATCTTGGCTTGTTCAGAAGAATGTTTAAAGAGAACAAATAGCCTTTAAAATATAATAATCTTTAATTAAAAAATTTATCTTCAATAGCTATAATACATATAAATTTATTGCTAGAAATAGCAAAATAAAACAATATTAATCATTTTTGTGATTTATTTTTTATTAATTATTTGAAACACTTCTAATTCATCATATTTACTACCACCTACTATATTAATGTTATTATA